TTGACAGAGAGAGACATAGTGAGAGCAGGAACACAAGCAGGGGGAGTGGGAGAGGGAGAAGCAGGCTTCCCGCGGAGCAGGGAGCCCGATGTGGGACTCAATCCCAGAACCCTGGGATCATGACCTGAGCCAAAGGCAGACGCTTAACGACTGAGCCACCCAGCCGCCCTAACAAAAAAATTTTTAATGATTCTTTTAATCTAACATGTAAATTCTAAAATAAAATTATACATCTCTCTTTCCAATTCATAAGTATTATTTTTAGTTCTACCAATGCATTGAAGAAGGTATTACTGGTGCTAGGTGATATGCTAATAGGTAATAATGGTTTGTAGGAGACTTCTGCTTTGTTTTAAAATCTTATCGTGAATCTAGCCACACTGTGAAGGAACTAGACATGCTCACACATTGCTGTTGGAAGTATAAGTTGGCCTAATACCTATGGAGCCAGTTTGGCATTATCTATTAAACAAGCAAATAATAACCTTTGTCCTAGCAAATTCATATCTCATAATTTATTCTAGAGCAATTGTTTGTATTAGCAAAAGATTAGAATCAATTTCAATATCCCATCAGTAGGAATCTGCTTAAATAAATTATAGTATATCCTTATTGTAGAATGGTATGCGGCTATAAAAGAGAAGGCAATTCTACATAATCATATAATACAGAAAAATCACCAAATGTATTGTTATTTTTAAAAAGCAAGGTGCAGGGGTGCCTGGATGGCTCAGTCAGTTAAGCCTCCGACTCTTGATTTCAGCTCAGGTCATGGTTTCAGGGTCGTGAGATCGAGCCCCGTATGGGGCTCTGCCCTGAGGTGGAGCCTGCTTAAGATTCTCCCTCTGCTCCTCCCCCCAAAAAAATTTAAAAAAAAAAGGTACATAAGTATGTATGACATGCCATCATTTGTGTAAAAAATATGTGTATGGGGGAGAACTGTATAATAATTTTATTTATGTGGGCGTAAATAAATCTCTGGAAAGATACACAAGAAACTAACACCAGTGATTACCTATGTGGTGGAGGAAAACTGGCAGGAAGACAGGATAGAAATGGGAAGGAGTTTTCACTATATAACTTGGTTTACACAAACATACACTAAACTATGTGAATGTATCACATATCCTAAAACTTAGGTAATTTATTTTAAAATTAAAATAAATCTGGCCATGCTCTTTACTTTAGACCAGATTTGTTTGTTAGCACGATGTTTGCTAGTTACTTATAGGGTATTTCCCTAACTGGAAAAAAGGTCAGACTCTTCTTAATGTTTTATTCATGAAATTTTTCCTTCAAGATTTTAGATCTGCAGCAGAAATTAGAACATGCTCAAAAAGTCTGTCTCTCTGACACTTGTATTTTGGGGAAGAAGCAACTAGAGGAAAAGATAAAAGAAGCACTGAAAAATGAAGCTAAAACAAAGCAAAAATACCAGGAAGAACAGCACAAGAGGTAAGAGGAACAAAGATGTCGGTTTCACCTGGGCTAACCGCTGAGTTTACCAGCAACGTCAGTGTACCCATGCATTTCCTCAGTGTTCCCACTGAAGTGAACTCAGTTACACAGCTTATTATCACACTGTATTCTACTTGTTTTTCTTGTTTGCCTTTCACACTAGAGTGTCAGATTCTCAAAGGCAGGGATTATTTCTGTTGCTCTGAGACACACTTTGTGCACCAGTCAATTTTTTTGAATGACTGGATGACCTATGAGATCTGATACTCTGGGATTTGCTTTTCTAATTCTAACACGATTGTCATAATATGCAAACTAAATGAAATTGATTTTTGTATTTATCAGCTTTGAATCTTGAAGTGTTCCCCAGTAGGCAGCCCCCTGACTTTCCCAAATTATCTCTGGAGGAAAGCAACTCCAATTTAGATATTAAGGATTCCCATATATTAAGTTTGTTATTTTTATTTTTTTTTAAGATTTTATTTATTTATTTGACAGAAGAGAGACAGGGAGAGAGGGAACACAAGCAGGGGGTAGTGTGAGAGGGAGAAGCAGGGGGGAGCCCGATGCGGGGCTAGAACCTAGAACCCTGGGATCATGACCTGAGCCGAAGGCAGACACTTAATGACTGAGTCACCCAGCCACCCTTGATTTTTAGTTCCATAATATTATTTTAAACAGTTGTATAGCATTCTGTTACATAGATGTATTATAATTTATGTAAAATGCTTTTTAGACATTTTTGCTGTTACAAATAATGCTGCAACGAATATCCTTGTACACAGACTTTATGATAAGTGTTATACTAAGGGAGGTTTAGGATGCTGTGATAGTGCATAGCAGAGACCCCTAATCTGGTCTAGGGAGCTCAAGAAAGCCTTGCTCAAAGAAAGCTATTTAAGCTGAGTGTGAGGTGTTTGGGATAGATGGCTCAATAGAGAATATTAGGGGAAGAAAGTCCTGGAAGAGGAAGATAAGGAAAAGGTTGGAGTTGCAGGGGAGAAATAAGGGTAGAGGATGAGTTATTTCAGGAAATGAAAAAAGTTCATTTTGCCTGGAACAAAATGTTTGGGGGTAGAGCGAGTGGCAAGAAAATGAAGCTAGAAAGGTAAGCTAGTTGACAAGCTCTATTGAAGTGCTTGGACTTTATGATATGATGAGATTGTGATGTAGAAAGAGCACTCTGGTTGCTATGTAAGGAATGGATTGAGAGATTGAGGCTGTTGGGGAGACAGGGAGTCATCAATCTACTGATTTCTTAATTTCCTTTTTTTTAGCTGGGTACAGTATACTTTATTGACGGTACAGGACAATGTAGGGCTCCCCAAGCCCCTCCCCTTCTTCAGGGGGTCTGGGATGAAAACTGGGGAAGTCAGGAGATTCTCAGTGTTTTGGGAGATGAGCTGGGGCAAGGACTCCCCAGCAGCTGAGGTCCTCTCTCTTCTTCTTGCTCTCTCTGAGGCTGGTGGTCCAGGGGGCTCTTACTCCTTAGAGGCCATGTGGACCATAAGGTCCACCACCCAGTTGCTGTAGCCAAATTCATTGTCATACCAGGAAATGAGCTTGACAAAGTGGTCACTGAGAGCAATGCCAGCCCCAGCCCCGAAGGTGGAAGAGTAGGTGTCACTGTGAAAGTCACAGGAGATAACCTAGTCTTCAGTGTAGCCCAGGATGCCCTGGAGGGAGCCCTGCGATGCCTGCTTCACCACCTTCTTGATCTCGTTGTATTTGGCAGCTTTCTCCAGGCGGGAGGTCAGATCCGTGACTAACATGTTGGGGGTGGGGACACAGAAGGCCGTGCCAGTGAGCTTCCCATTCAGCTCAGGGATGACCTTGCCTACAGCCTTGATGGTGCCAGTAGAAGCAGATGATGTTCTGGCCATCACACCACAGCTTCCCAGTGGGGCTGTCCAGTCTTCTGAATGACAGTGATGGCATGGACTGTAGTCATGAGTCCTTCTACAATACCAAAATTGTCACGGATGACCTTGGCCAGAGGGGCCAAAGCAGTTGGTGGTACAGGAGGCATTGCTGACAATCTTGAGGGAGTTTTACTTCTCAAGGTTCACACCCATCACAAACATGGGGACATCAGCAGAAGGGGCAGAGATGATGACCCTCTCAGCTCACCCTTCAAGTGAGCCCCAGCCTTCCATGGTGGTGAAGACTCCAGTGGACTCCACAACATACTCAGCACAGGCATCACCCCATTTGATGTTGACAAGATCTCACTCCTGGAAGATGGAGATGGGCTTTCCATTGATGAGAAGTTTCCTGTTCTCAGCCTTGACTGTGCCATGGAATTTGCCGTGGGTGGAATTATAGTGGAACATGTAGACCATGTAGTTGAGGTCAATGAAGGGGTCAATGATGGTGACAATATCCACTTTGCCAGAGTTAAAAGCAACCCTGGTGGCCAGGTGCCCAATATGGCCAAATTCATTTACTCCAACCTTGACTATTGTGTCGCAGGGACGTGGCTGGCACTGCACCAGAAGATGTGGCTATATGTCTAATGGAGAGGAGCAGAGAGCCTTCTTAATTTCATTCATTGGCATAACTGGCTTATCTGTTAGTCTTTGCTCAAACTATATGTAATATGGGTATTAATTTCTAACACATTCATGGATTGCTTTTTAAATTTTGACTTGCTATGTTTCAATGCCATTTTCCAACTCCTAAATTCCATTGCAGATAACTCAAGTTTCTATAGCTCTAGCAATTTAAGATTTCCCTTTCAGCTCCAAAGCTTATCTCTTAGTCTGGCCCCTTGATCAGAAATTCAGAATGGAACCAAAGAAGAAGTAGACAATAATAGGCAGGAATTGCTCAGGTCTATAATGAATGAAATGAAAACAGAGGTGAAGGGGGCGGTGCTGGTGCAGGGGCGGATGTCAATGGTAGGAGGTAAGCTTGTAGAGCCTTCACTTATATCAGGAACTGTAACAAGAATTGGAGGTGCTGGAGGCTGAGAGGTATGAGGCCCATGTCTCAAATATCAATCTTTCCCAGTAATCCATTGGTTTTTCAGAAAACTGAAGTTAGAGAAAGTGACCTCATTTGTCCAATATCAGTAGTGACCTAGCATGTAGGTGCTACTCCATCATACTCATCATATTCTTCTAGATAATCTCCTAAATCCAAAGAGACTTGTTGGAAATCCTCAGAAACTCTTCCACAAACTGTAGTCTGATGAGATTCCCTCTGAAGGAGTTAGGTGTATATGGCCCTTCTGAAAAAGGATGAACTTCCTCATCAAACACAGGCTCATTTATGATTCAGCTCATGCAGCGTTAACATGTGTGCATTAGTATCAACAGTGTTTGTAACTGACAACCCTGTATTGAACCAAGAAGATCAAGGGACTCAACTTGGAAAGCAGTGAGGACGAGGAGAAAGAATAGAGGATTCGGGATTAGAGCCCTACGTTCATCTTGTCCTAGCAGGTTAATGCAACCTCTCTGTAGGCTTCCTTTGTGAAATAAGGGAAGTTATTTCCTCTTTGTAGGATTGTTTTGGTGAGTGAGAGAGAGAACTAAGCAAAACATCTGTCATAAAGGAGGTCCCCTGTGTTGGCCTCTTTATTTTATGGACACATACCCTACCTCATTGAACCAGTAAAATCCCTTGTGATGATATAACAATTTTAGGTCAAAGAATTTCATAAATCCAGTGTGACTTAATGTACATTAATTACCCTCAGGGAACTCCTGGATCAGAATGTAAAAGAGCTACAAAAGCAAGTGAGAATCTTACAAGATAAAGGGAATCAACTGGAAATAACCTGTTCTCAGCAACAATCCAGAATCCAGCAACAGGAGGCCCAACTTAAACAACTGGAAGATGAAAAAAGAAAATCGGAAGAGGTGAGAAAGGAAACAGATGCACTTCTCAGTTTTCCTGTTCCCATAAACCCGAGTCATAGCTAATAGTTACTGAGTGCCTAGCATTTTACCCCTTAAGTCTATCGGGAAAACAAAATCTACTCTAGGTATCTCAAGCAAGGAACGATTTAACACAGGGAATAACATGCTTACAAACTGTTAGAAGGGAGATGCCAGGGTGAGGAGAACGTCAGAAAAAACTGTGGCCTGCTTTCAGTAACTCTAGAAGTTTAGAAATCCCAGGGAAACCCACCCAGAGTGGGAGATTTGCAGGAACACTCCCTGAAGCCCCTGCAAATGTCTCATCTGCTGTCTGCCTGGTCACCTCCCTGCTAGTGCTAGAGAAGGACAGCTCTCCCCACCCTGCCCCAGTGCCTTCCAAACTGCGTGCAAGTGCCTCTCATTTGCTAGAACTCTGCTGTCAAGAGTCTCAGAAATGTAGTTTTCAGACGTCTAACCTTGCAGCACAGAATAGTCTCATTTAAAAAAAGTGTTTTTCAGCATCTCAAAAGCAACCAAGAATTATCAGAAAAGATATCTGCGTTGCAGCAAGAGAAGAAAGCGCTCTATGAAGAATATGGGCAATTTTTGAACCAGCTTGATGTCCATGTGAGGTAAACAAAAACAAGTTCCCTCTCGATAGGGATTTCATGCTTTTCCCTAAATACACCCTTTTCATTTGCCTTCATGCTTTTCTCCCCTCACACACTTTGCTCAGTCTGGACCACCCTCTCCCTATTTCAACTCCTCATTTCAACTCATAATTCTTAGACTTGGAGTCACCTTCTGCAAGAAGCCTGGGCTGGGCGAAGTGCTCATTCTTTTTTTTTTTTTTTTTTAAGTTTTTATTTATTTATTTGACAGAGAGAGAACACAAGCAGGGGGAGTGGGAGAGGGAGAAGCAGGCCTCCCGCGGAGCAGGGAGCCCGATGTGGGGCTCAATCCTAGGACCCTGGGATCGTGACCTGAGCCGAAGGCAGACGCTTAATGACTGAGCCACCCAGGTGCCCCTGAAGTGCTCATTCTTTGTATCCTCATAACCCTTGGTACATGCCTCTTTGTATTTATTTCAGAACTTGCCACACTATTTTGAAATAATATGATTTACTACCTGTCTTCTTCACCAGAGTGTAGGCTTTTCAAGGGCATGGGCTATGGTCTTATGCATCTTTTTATCCATAGTCTCCAGTATCTAGTAGGTGCTCAATAAAAAATGTGTTTCTGAACTTCCTGCTCTTTCTTCCATTCCCTGCTCATCATTCCACCAGATTCCTCCTGCTCTCCTCCTTTCTGGAATGCAGCATAGTAGTTCAGAGTATGGACTCTGGAGCCATATTGCATAGGTACAAATCCTGGTTCTCCTAGAAACTAGCTGTGTGACCTTGGATAAGTTATGTAACCTCTCTGTGCCTGAGATCCCTCATCTTTAAAATGGGCAAAATAACAGTACTTATCTCATAAAGTTGTTGTGAGATTTAAATGAATAAATAATACGTAAAGCACATAGAACAATGTCTAGCACACAGCTATTATTATATCTATTTATTTTTAGTTCTTTTTCCATGATCCACCTCTCTGCTCCCAGCTCTGTAGTCTTCTGCTCTATTCCTTCTATTAGGCTGAAATTTCTTATTCTTTTGTATTCTTACTTACCAACTATGTTGATGGTATTAATAATAATGATTTAAAAACCATTGTTTACTGCTGTATAGAGTATTTTTCAGAGTCATTGGTATTCCTTATCTTGCTTTGATCATCATATTACTGAGAAATGTAGAAACCATGCCAGGGGAGTATTTATGGTTCAATTCATGCTGCTTACAAATCTAAGGCTAGAACTCAATCCTCTAATAACCAATATAGTGCTCTTTCCACATCTTACCTTGGTATTAGAAGGGGTTGAAAGAATGAAGTGCTAGATCCAGAGCATATAAAATGCCACAATGCCTGCCAAGTGCATCGGTACCGAATCTAATGTGTATACACATTGCTTACCCAGAATCCTTCCTGTGTTCACTCTTAGTCTCTCTGTCAATAAACACAGTTTTATGATTTTACTATCGTAGCTTGGATAACATTTTATATTCTCTTCCTCGTAATGTTGTCTTGTAAGCATTGTACTTTGTTGCTACAGTCTTTGAATTTGCTTACTTTTGTAGAACATAATATTTCATAAAGCTCATGTGCCCTTGCACTAATAGCGGCGGTTAAACAGGATCTGATTGCTAAAGATGACTAACAGAACCCAGTGACGGTGCTTCCAAAGGTACAGCGCATTGCAGGAGAAAGATACGGTAGCACAACAGAGTTAGAGTCAGGACATGCGTTGCCTTCCGCAGCAGCCTCACAGCAGACAGTCCCCGAGAGGTCCGGCAGGGGCCCCCACGGTGCTTCCTATGTCAGGGCCATGCTGGGATGCACCTCCTCTCTCAGGTCAGGAACTACCAATGTGTGCACCGAACACCTCACCACCAGGGATCCCCACATGGAGTCTCAGCTGAGATTTTTTTTTTTTATATTCTGCTGGTCATGGGAGCATATTTCTGCTATGTAACCAGCCTCAACAGCAGAGCCTTCTTGAGGTCTCGCTGAGACCAAGTACAAATCATCAGCCTCACTGTTATCAGTAAACAGTGCTGACAAGCCTGGTGCCAACTGCCATCAGACTCCTCAGCCCTGTGATTACAAAACAACGCAGCTCTAATCGGCATATTTCATTTCTTGACCAGTGGTCAGTGCCAAGCAAGAACTTTAGCAAAATAGCTCAGGTCAATTCTAGGCCTGCTGGAATCAACCCTCACAGCACAGTCCTAATTGGGTTAAAAATTACTCACTGGTTCTATGAATGATATTTTTACTCAGAGTAACACAGAAAAAAAGTATTTTGATTTGTGTGTGCATATATAAGTATATACATATATATACTTATTGTTTAAAACATTATTTTTATAGAGTAAATTCCCAGGAGTGGAATTACTGGTCAAAAAGCTGGAACTCTGGATCTTAAAATGTATTGACAAACATTCAGAAGCATCCCACCAAAATTTTCTGCCATCATTATATAAGAGTAGCAATTACACCACATCCTCATTAGCATTGGGTGCTGCTTTTAGGGGGAGGGCTCTGATGAAATTTTCCCCAATATTCTTTGTTTTAATTGAGGTATAATTGGCATATAATAAATGCACAGATTTATATACGTACAGTCTTATGTTTGGCAACCGTCTGCACCCACATAACCACTACCCCATTCAAGATCCAGAACATTTCCATTATCCCTTAAGGTTCTATCTGGACTTTTTGCAGTTAATCTGTATCTCCTGTGTCCCCCATCTCCTCCCAGACATCCACTCTTCTGATCTCTGTCTCTTCTAGAATTTCATTTAAATGGAATCTTACCTCATGTAATTTGTGTCTGACTTCTTTTGCTCAACATATTCTATTATTTTTAATGCTCACTTATAATCATAAATATTTGTCATTTTATTTTAAATTTCTTTGATGGCTAGTGAGGCTGAATATTTTTCCACATTATTTGCCCATTGCCTTTAGGACAGTGGGTAGTAACCCTAGCTGCATGTGCCTGGGCCCCAACATAGGTTAGTTAGATCAGAATCTATGGGGATAGGACTTAGGGATCAATGTTTTTATAAAAGCTTCCCCATGTGATTTTGATGTGCCATCCAACGTTAAAATACAGCTTTAGGAAAGAAAATGGAAGGACTTGTCAAAACTCTAGGTTCGTTTTTGTTTTCATTCCCCCAATCCCAGCCCTGACCTTTACAGACAATGCTTGTTTTTTTCCACGTTTTCCCAACCACTCTTCCAGAGGAACAAACTCCTTCCTTTTTGAAAGAAAAGTGATAGAGAAGTCTATCTGGTTTTGCTTAAACATAAGCAAAAAAAAAAGTCCCTAAATTTTGGAACATGAATATTGTGCTGCCTCATAGATCTAGTAGTTAATAAAGCCAAAAATAAACTTAGAAAATCCACACGTTCTTCAGGCAAGTTGGCCCACTGAGCTTCTGACCGAACCAGAGGTGTGCCAACTAGCCAGCCAGCAATGGTGAGAGAAGGCTCCAAGCCCTCACCAGCTGTGCTGCATCAACATACTCTTCCCACCGTGCGTACCACTACAGAGAGAAGTCTGAGTATCCAGCAACAGGAACTAGTTAGGTCAAGCATATTATACTCCCTTGATGGAAGCCCATGCAACTGTAAAAGATGGGGGCCCTGAAGACTAGACAGTGGCACAAGGAAATGCTTACAATATAATAAATGGAAAGAGCGTAAGACTGAAATTTGAATGTAGTCAATGTCTAAACAAAAGGCGTTTATAAAAAGACTAAAAGAAAATACAACACCATTTTAATACTGGTCATATTGGGAGTTGGGTTTTCTTCCCAAATTTTCTATAGTTTATCATCTCACTTTTATTTTTTTTTTTTAAGATTTTATTTATTTATTAGAGAGAGAGAGAGAAACAGCATGAGAGGGGATAGGGTCAGAGGGAGAAGCAG